GTGTTACTCATCAAGACGATGATGACGATGACGGGCATCGTTAACAGAAAGGGGAAGATTAACATCGTACCAAGAAATTCAACACCTCGAGAGCAGCGTGATTAAAGACGAGACGAGTCAAGGGCTAGAAGGAGACGAGGGGGGGGGGGGAAGAAGATGCTATTGGCTCTAATTGCCAGTACTGGCCGAATAGAAGGCGGTTTGCTCTCGGCTCGATTCGGTTCGTCTTGCTCCGTATCGCGCTCCGTATCGCGCTCTGTATCGCGCGATCGCTGCTTCGCTCGACGCCTCTCGTTTAACCAACACAAAAAAATATCCACGCAAGAGGAAGTGTCATACATTTTCGTTCGGCCGTTGCCTGAGCCGACGTACTTGTTGACGCGACAACGCTCCCTCCGTCGATCTTCCGCAGACCATCTTTGCCCTGAAGCGATGCCCCCGCGAATATAGATCGACGTATGCACGCAGATGAGCGTAATTGCGCGATATTACATATCAGTGTAATATAATGCCAAGAAACAAGATGCAAAAGTACGAAAGAATAATACGAAAGAGACACCATTAGTTGCATGCAACAAAACTAAATTTATTTGTAAATCAATTTATTATATTGCATTTTCTGATTTATATTTTCTCTCTGCCGTGTATTATGCTCCAACCCAGCAACTCCTATGTTTCAGATTTCTGTGATAACACACACAAAATTGAAAATTTTTTATATTGATCGATATAGTTCGTATAGATAGATCATATGTAGATCGATGTAGAACGGAAAAAAAGCTGAATAGAAAAACCAGAAGATAACTACAAAAAATTTAGTTTTGTGCGTATAGCTACTGCAAGCAAAATAGCAATCTGTATACTTGTGAAATAGACGATATCTCAGCTAATACAGATGTGTGCAAAATGTTGTCCAAAAGGTTTACCTGAGTGTAATCTTTTGAACCTAAATTTGACACCTACATCTGAAAATTACCTGCTGAGGCAGGATTTCCAAACACTAGTAAGCGAAACAAACTGAGATTTCTCGAGAGGTAAAAATCAATTTTTTTTTAACTATTAAAAGGCTTGTTGATGAAAGATTACACAGCAAGGACCGATTAATTTGCAGCGTGTCTGTCGCGCGCGAGACGGTAGTTCGGCTTCGATTACGATCATTGTCCGACGCCTGTTGTTTAACGGTGCCGCTCGCTCTCGTGCGCACGAAGCTACTTCTTCCTCTCTCTCTCTCTCTTTCCTTCAGACATTGTTCCGAGGCGGTCCTTCGTTTTCATTCAGTAATTCGCAGGCAGCTGCACACTAATAATAGTAACGGACAGTGTGCCGCTACCACGTCGCCGGTCTCGCTACGCCTTCGACGTAACGACGAGAAGCGAGCGGGCGTACTCGAGTTGAGATGAGAGACTAGAAAGGAGAACGAGAGCCGTCACGAGAGAGGAGAGGCGTCAAGAGGGAAACGGAATCGCCACATTGATTCCGACCGCTGAATTTGGAAGAACCCGTGACTAAGACGTGTGTGTATGTGTGTGTATGTATGTGTGTTGTCCTCGGTCCGCCGATTGATTAACCGCGTCAGCTTGGGCGGGATGAGAGTAACGAGTGTGACAAAAGCTCGAGATACATACCCATCTAGATCGCTGTGTCGGGGAGAAAAACTTTATTCCATAAGAATACATTTTTTATCGTAGAGAATAAGATGCCGCTTTATTTTTCAGGAGAACGATTTCTTATAGACGTCGATAGAAGGTGCAATGTTTACAAAAGCCGGTGCGATTTCAAGTGTTATATCTCGCATTGCGTATACTGATAACGCAAATTATAATCGCATACGTACATACATTAACAACGTAAATAGGTCTCAATAAGGCGTAGCTTCATAACAATCTCATATCTATATTCCTTTATATTCCGTTATATGTGTTAGATTGTTTTAAATCTCATATCTATTCACCTATAAAAGATAATGCAGTTCATGTTGCTATCTTATTTATGCTCGGTTTCACCTGTGATCAATGATTTCTTCATAGAACAATTTGTGTATTCGCTTTCCTTTCTCAGAAAGTCTACATTCGGGGAAGAATGTTCCACAGACTTATTCCAAGAAAATACATATTGTTTATAATACTTTGGAAGTAAAATATTAGCGATACTGTTGGGAGGAATTTTGATTTTGAGATCGTCCAAAACAATGTATTCAGAAATTTAAATAGAAACTATTAGATCTCTAAGATCTTTCTTTCTAAAATAAAATAATAAAGTGAAACAGGAAAAGATTAAAAAACAAAATGACAATAAGTAAGCATGTATAATCTATATATTTTTACAATCAAAACATTTTCTAACTAAAATTTGTAGTGAATACATAAGTATTATATGCGCGATGTGTGTTGAAAAGAGTGTGTCATCAACATCCGGTCCCTAATTATCATTGTATCGTTGAAGTTGAAATTTTTCATACTGATGTGCATCTATACATATTATGAGCTACAACAGAATAAGCAATCCCTGTCTTCTCCGTGAACATATCGCGTACTTTACAGCGGTGAAAAGTCAAGGAAATTAAACGCAGATAACCGCGAGCGCACGAACATTATCGCGCGCTACTTTTGCTATTTCTCTTCACCGCATAATTAGTGTTTCACATTTAACCTCGTTAAACATGCCATGCGCGTTATACACGTATTTAGAAAAAATTGATTCTGCATTTTGCGTCTGTATGATGCGATATATACGACGCAACTTATTAGATTGATGGCTAGACTCATTAATGTAATTATTAAATACTTGGGTTTTATAATTTTATGTACTAAATTTTGTATAAGTATATTGCTCCCTCCCTCCTCCCCCCCCTCCTCTCTCTCTCTCTCTCTCTCTCTCTCTCTTCTTACTTACTTACTTACTTACTTACTTACTTACTTACTTACTTACTTACTTA